GAGAGAAGTGGGGTGACGGAGGGAGGGGAAGTGTCAGAGGCACGGCAGCCACCGTGGAGGATCTGGAGGCCCTAAAAGCCCACTTTTAGCCCTGCGAGGGCTCTGAGCCTGCTTCTCTCCCATCATCCCTGCCCCCTTTTCCAATCAGAAGGTGTGTTTTAGGTGATTACAGAGGAGCCCTGGATTTCTAGGGCTGGTATAATCTGGGTCTGAATTGGGAGTCAAGATACAATCTGTTTTCTTAACTTTCTAGGTCTTAACCACCTGGCCTTCTGAGAACCTCAACAATGCCTCCAGGATGGCCCAACCTGGAACTCCCTCCTTGCAGTGAGATAGTCTGGACCCCCAAGGATGAAGGCCCCCTCCCCCTCATTATTCCTTCCTCTCTGCTTTAATTGTAATAACAATGCCTTACTTTTCAGCCACACCCACCTGTTCTCACATCAGAGGATGGACACAGGGCACACCTTGGCTCTGTACATCAGGGGACTAGACCAACACCAGGCTGCTGGTAAGCAACCACCCTAGTACCAGAACCTGATTTTTGGACTCTTTGTCTGAAGTTCATTCTCGAGTCTGTCACACCGGAGCAGTGATTGGAAGGCCTGTAATTATTTCCTCTCCCAAGGCTCAGATTGGGCCTGTACACCTGCCTCCAAGGAGCTGTAGCTGTACCTGTGACTCAAAGAGGATTTCTTTTTATTATTTTTTGATTGTCACCCAAGAATATGTACCTGAGGATATGTTTTTATTGATTTTAGAGAGAGGAAGGGAGAGGGAGAGAGAGAAACATCGATGTGAGAGAGAAAAATCAATCAGTTGCCTCTCATACATGCCCCAACTGGGGACTGAACCCACAACCTGGGTATGTGCCTTGACCGGGAATCAAACCTGTGACCCTTTGGTGCACAGGACGATGCTCCAACCAACTGAGCCATACCACCCAGGGCTCAAACAGAATTTCTGACTCCTGTTTCAGCTTACGGTGGCAGAAAAGAAGTGGGAGGGAAGAAGGGAATCCTTAAATCCCTCTGTGATTTTTAGTCTGATCTGATATCCTTGCTGGTCCCTGTTCTGATGGAGAAAGGGAGGAATAGGTAGGACAACGGGGCAAAGGAGCGCCAGCATTTGGGTTTGAAGCCTGCCACCATCACTTTTGTGGGCTCTGACTGCAATGATAAGATATTGAAGGTGGGTGGTGTGAACAAATTCCCTCCAGGCATTTGTTTTCCACAGCTGAGGCAATGGCAAGGTCTGAACCACAGCACCTGGGGCCTCTCCAGGACATCTTGGGTGGTGAACAGAAAGAGAGGAGCTATCTCTAAGATTCTGACTTGTGTTGGGGGGAGGCTGCATTGAGAGGGTTCACTCAGCCAGGCTCCTCAACAGCCCCACTCCGTCCTGCCCCTTTCCTGAAAGCAGCTCCCCTAAGGGCTGACAGTTTGGGCTGGACCAACCCAAATTAGGGGAGGAGCCCATCCTTCTGGGTGGGAGGCAGGACTGCAAGTCAGCTGTGCTAAAGCTGCTGACTCGGCAGCACTGCTGCAACAGGGGGACCCAACATATTTGCATGCAGACTGCCATTTAAAGTCCAGATCCTTCCAGCCATCTTCTCCCCCTCAACCCCTTCTTCTCCAGCCTGGGAAGGAATGGTTTGGGGCACTTAGCTGGGAAAACTCATGGTCCATCTAAAGGTGGGGGTAAATCAAATGAGGCGGAGACCTTGTTTGTCAAGAAGCTCAGTTTCTCTGTTTAGAAAATGGATGAGAAGATCCTGCCTCACCACTGCCACCTTTATAAAAGCTTTTTGATGGTAAAGAAAAAATGTTTTAATCTTGTTGGGGCTTTGAGCTACTACGGAAGAGCTCAAAGCAAGCAGCCAATTTCCGTATTGTTCCCTGGGCCCTAATCCTGGTAGTATTTATTATTACACATGCATTTCATTATCTTTGCTAATAAATTACTACTAATAGCAATTATTTTTATTACCCAGATTAATTTAGCCTTAACTCATTAAAACAGTGTGCTTGTTAATAGCAAAATCCATTAGAATACAGTCATCTGTCATCAGGAATCTCCTGGTGATGTGACAGGCATCAGAACTGTTATGCTTATGTTTATTATTTATTCATCACCATGATTGTTGCTGTGATTATCCTAATTATCCATGGAGGCAGGGAGAATTTATGCCCTTCCGTGTTTAGATGGTGAGGGATCCAGGAATGGAACACAGAGGTCCTGATTCTCTGCCCAAGACTGGAAACAGTGGAGGCATCCAGCTCCTTCTGGGGGGCCAAGGGAGTTTGGGGAATTGAGGTTGCCATGGAAGCAGGAAAGCAAGTCTGGGACTTGTCCAGAGGGGGCGCTGTATAATCACCTCTTTGAGAGCTGCCAGGAAGGGAAACTGAGGCAGTGGTCTGACCAGGGACCTGGAAGAGGTGGGGGGAGAACCCAGGAAATGTGCCCTAGCCCCCAGGTCAATGCTGGGGACTTGGATGTGCAGGTGTGCCTCCCATAGGCAGTTAGCCTTGCCTGCAGGGGACACACATTTACTGGCTCCCTACTGTGCCAGCCACTGTACTCTGTGTTGTCTGAAAGGCATTAGAGGCCAGAGAGGAAATCTGGAGGCCCCTTTCCCACCATCAGGTGAGAGGCTGATCTCTAGTTAGGTCTTTATACCACAGCCTTCAACTTATATACCCTACCACCTCTCACCTCACTCAGACTCTAATCCAAGCCCCTGCCTATTTGTAATGCTCACCTTCCCATAGGCCACAGCCTGTCCCCACACAGCCCCTCTCCCCCAGTCTAATTTATCAATTTCATGTTCTCCTTGATCCATATGAACTGTGGATCTTAGAGGCAGCTGCAGGGAGCTCACCTCACCCAGGGTACCAGCCCCTTTCTCAGGCTCCTCAGGTCCCCATGTCCTAATGACCAGGGCTTGGTGCCATCAGGCTGTGCAGTGGTGACTCAAAGCTACCCCTGGGGAGATGGGCCAGTGGGGCTTAGACAAGGATAGATGGGGGCCTCAGCACCAGGCAGGAAAGTGGTGACTTCCCTCCTCCCCATCTTGCCCAGGGAAGGGCCAGGCCCAGATGCAGCTCTGCCTTCCTGAAGAAATTCTGGAAGTCTCTCTGTAGGCAGGAAATCAGAAAGAAAAGCACAGAGCCCATGGTTGCCCCTGGTCTTAAAGGCACAAGAGGTGCAAGCTCCCCTCTTCTGTTCCCATCCATTGCCCAACTCTGTCGCCTTTTCCTTGGCTCACTTGAATGCCCTCTTCCACTTCTGAGCCAGTCGTTCCCGACACTTGACCTTTTTATTTTCTCTCTAGTCATGTCCCTTCACCTTGGGGACCCAGGGTCACCATCCTCTTTCCCAATCAGGTTGGTCTGAACCGGGGCAGGTTCCACTGAATCACTCCCTCCAGCCGACACATTTGGGGACAGGAGCTCCCAGCCCTCCTCTAACACAGTAATCCCTGGGGTATGCTAATGTGTGGTTACTACTGTCTCCCCTGCACAGACCATGAGGTCCTGGAGGGCAAGCGGATTGAACCCCTGGAACCAAGTCCAGAACCGGGCTCGTAGTAGGGGCTCAAAACTAATACTACATGGAATACTTGGTGAGATTAAGTGAGTCTCTTGGATAATCTGGAAGGAGAGGTCACCAAGGATATGGGAGAGGCCATTCACCCCACTATTTGTCTTGTTTTTGGAGGTGGGGGAGAAATGGTCTGAGTAACTGTAAAAATGCTGAGTCTTTGAAACCTCTAGTTAAAGCCACCTCCTTTCTTCTACTAGTCTCTGGTCCCACCTCCTTGTCAGGCTCTGCCAATCCCCTGCCCCTGCTTGAGGGGAAAGAAAAGACTTTTGAGTCGGTTTCACCTTCCAGTGATTAAAGCAAGTGCCCCTGCCCCAAGCACACAGGGTCTTTGAGGCCTCCTCTTGCCCCATTCTGGGGGCCCTATTGCAACCTCCTGAGGTGGTGCAGGGTATAGGGCCCACTTGTGGTCTGGTGATCACTAACCTCCCCACACAAGCTGGGCCCCCACCCCTCTGAAACCTCAGCTTGGTGCCAGCCCAAACTTTCTTTGGGAAAGAAAGAAATTCCATTATGAAGGTGACATTGCTGCATCCCTTATTGGTGATTAATAAGGGGAATCATGGAGCTGTCTGCAGAATGAGCCCTCACAAGATACTGGGGCCTCCCTTTTGGTTAGGAACCAAGGACAAAGACAAGAGACACGGGAAGCCTAACAGACACAAGTGGGAGAGAGACACCCGAAGAATAGAGAAGGGGGGGGGGTTAAACCCAGGAGAGGGAGGCCAGAAACCCAGGGAGAGACAGATAGGACTGGTAGACACCAGAGAGAGACAGACACAAGAGACAGGGAGACAGAAGAGGCAGGGGAGAGGTGGAAACCAGAAAGAGAAGCAGGCAGTGGGGAGAGAAAAGTGTGTGTGTCAGGGGAGGGGGGACTACTTACAAGTACCTGGTCAGCCAGCTTTTTGCTGACTCTTACCCCCAAGCCAGGGTCTTCCTCAGAGCAGTGCTGTAGTGGGAGGGGTTCCAGCAGAGTCTTGGGTCTCTGTCGCAGGAGATTCCTTTCCAATTCCCACTAGCCTAGCTTTAGTTCTGACCTGAGCAGGTCCCCTTCTTCCACAAAAATGCTTGGCCTGACCACCCGCAGAGACCCCAGCCACTGGAGTCCGGAAGCACTGGGAAGGGAGGGTGTATCAAAAGGGAAGGGAGTTGGGCAAAACTGTTGCCCTGGGGCAGGGTTAGGTTGAGATTGGTCCAGGGGCAGCAGTCCCAAGAAGAGCACCATGTATTGCAGGTCCAGGTACCAAAAACCCTGTGTGCTTGATGCCTGCTGGCTCCCATCTCTGGGATGGGAACAAGGAAGGAGGAGGATTCCCCCCCACTCCAGGAGTCAGGAGTTGCAGCTGGGAGACCAAGAGGAGGGGAGTTTTCACCTCTTTGCCCCCTCTCAGAAGAAAAGACTCCCCCCACCCAGGCCAACTTCTTGCCCTGGTAGCTCTTACACAATGCCAAGGGGCCGCTCAGTCCCGGGTTTTGCAAAGGGTGTCAGATCGATCCAGTGGTCCCTTCCCAAGGGCCGGAGATGTATTGCAGCTAAGGCTTTGCGCCAGGCTCCCTTTGCCTTAGTGCCCAAAACATCTACAGCTCGCCTTTTCGGCTGGTGCGCATAGCTATGCACCTGGGAGCCCGCAGGCGCCAAGGCTACCTTTTCCCATCCTGCCCTGCCCTAGTCTCCCGCTGGTGTCAACCAGGCTCCCAGCTCTCAGACGCCGCTTCCCAAGGGCCAGTCCGCGCGCCCGGGAGCCCTGCGCTCTCACTAGTTCGATTATCTCCCGCATTTCCACGCCGCGGGTGGCCAGCAGCGCCTGCCTTGGAGTCGGCGCCCAGTAATTGAGGAGTCAGAGGTACCAGCCATCTTCGACCGTCCCCCGCATACGATGCCTTAAGTCGGGCCGCTGTACGGTTTTCACCAGCGCCCTCCGACTCCAACCTGGTACCCATATGACCCGGGCTCCTAGAGGTCCCTGCCCCAAGGCCAACCCCGTGCCCCCGCCGGGCCCACCTGGCCGTTCTTGCAGAGGTCAGCCCACATACTGGTGCCGTCGCCGCCGCGCATGAGGACATGGTAGGTGAAAAAGTAGGTGCCGGGAATGTTGCACGTAAACTTGCCGCTGGTCGCGTCGTAGTTGTTGCCTAGGTTGGTGACCACGTCGTCGAACTTGAGCACCTCGTAACCCTCGTGAGGGTTCTTGAGGCCGGCGTAGAAGGCCACGCGCGGCACCGTGGTGTAGGTGGCGGTGCTGATGGCGCCGCTGCCCCCCGGGCCCGGCAACCCTGGAGGGCCGGTCTTGCCCGGCTCACCCTTCTCTCCCGGCGGCCCTACAGGGCCCGGAGGACCCGGGTCCCCGGGGGGTCCGGGGGGTCCAGGCTTGCCAGTGCGGCCCGGCTTCCCCTGGGGGCCCTGCACCAGCGTGGAGGGCGGGGGCGCGCCGCTCT